CCTTCTAAATTCTGCCATAATATTGCACACGTTTGATATTTGCCAGCAGTGGAAATTCTTCCTTTCAGGAGCTATTGGTTTGACTCTCCAAGTTGGATTTTTGGTGGGCTTTTCCCACTRGTCAGAAATAAGAAGTCCTTTTCTAAGACTGTGAGCTCCCCACTGCAAAAAACAAGTTGTTAGGATCTCGTGTTTTTTAAATTAACAAATGTGTTGCAGTACATGTTCTCTAAACACATGGTTCTGTATGTACTACAGAGAGAACAAAGATTTAATTTTTCATTTCAGTCTTTTGAGAAGTATACAATACACACGGATGTGCTTTGTTTAGCATTTCAGATTTCACTTCACTTTGTAGGAGAAAAAACATCTGTGTAATTTACACACTCAATTGGCTTTTAAATTTATGCAATCAGGAATAGTTTTAAATAATTCTTATACGTCCACAGTTCAATGGAATTATTTCTGTGAGCTTGAACMGATTAGTACCTAAACAAATAGGGCCTGTCTTGAAGTTGTTTTTGTTGATGGCTATGCAGCCAGCAGTCTTCTCAGCTGTAGGATTTCTTGACAGAKTTTGRTGGWGGRTTTACCTTGCTTTTTAAATTTAACWTATTTGACAGCACTCAAGCATAGSTGGTTCAAGTGTTTCACTGTGGCACTTTTCTACAATTTGTGTAAGTATGCCTTGCAATAGAATAATAGAAACACATWTAAAAAGTAGGCCTGTACAAGTATTTGGCAGAATTACACCATACACAATCTGAAACTTTCTTCTTGTTATGGACTTGGTTAAATTKGACTATTTGACTTGGGATATACTAAAGCGAGCTACAGTTCTTTTTGTATTATGAATAATAAATTGAAACCCCAGATCAGTCTGTTCCCATGATGACACCTGTAGCTACATGAGATGGTGGCTTTTGTGAACTAAAGACTAATTAAGTTTTTGGACTCTATTTAGTTTGAAAATCTGCCCTACAAYCTTCTAACCAGTGGTTAGGAATTGTCTTCTAATTTCTGATCTAAATGAAYTTTAATAACTAATCCATACCTAGCTGTTGAACCAGTAATTTTCTTCAGGTTGAATAGCTGTCCATCTTTCCTTGTGTTTATTCCTGTTATATTTACCCATCAACTTTAGCTGTCTTGATTGTATTACTTTGTTTTGTTTTTATCTCCAATTGTCTGTGTTTGCTTGAGATAGTATGCCTCTAGGTGTAYGCTCAATTTATTAATCATATTGTCTCTGTGCTGTTCATACCTTAGTGTTTCCCTGGAAAATTTCCCTGGGAAAAAATACTAGAGTTGTRTTTGTGTCTTGCTCCCAACATYACAYCGTTGTGTCTGATGTTCTGTAATCRCTTGGTGTCCTGGCCCCTGGCCAGAGCTATCCCTTATGTGTGAACTTCTAGTCTATGTGAAGCAGCAATTCTTCAGAGTCACCAATATGCATGACTTTCCCAATTTCATGCTGTTGTACTTCAGTCTAGTTCTGTTGCTTCAGTTCTTCATGTGATCCAAATCTGCCTGCATAAAAGCAACACTCATTTGAACTGACAATTYGTGCTTGTCAGCAAATTTTATCAAAGTTTTGCTTTCTGTGCCTGCTTCATTAATGAAAAGGGTGAGTATTCTTCAATCAAGCTGAATCAAGAATCAAGGTCCTCAAATGCCATTTGAACTAGACTACTAATCTCTTCTTGAAAGTACTTGTCTGCCCTGTAGTGAATTCTTTACTGTATTTATAATCCCTCTCTTCTTCATCCAAATGAGTAATTTTCTTTGTGGCACCATATCAGGTTTTTTTTTTATAATCTTATGGGAAATGGATTGTTGCACATTGAGTTAGACTGACAGTCCAGTTTATCTCTGGCATTCTGTTCAAAACTGTACCTGTGATTGAGGTAACATGCTCACAGTTACCTAAGTCACTTCTTGCCCAAGTTACACATTAGAGAACCATTTAATGTGTCTTAGTTTTGTTGTGTTTAAATACATTAACTGGGTGTTCAATGTACTGCTGCAAATGATTTGCAATATCTTGTCTGTTGAAATGGATWGTGTGTTCTAATTCTTGTGAAGTCTAAGATTTACATTTTTTCATATGTTCCTATTTTACAATTCTCTCTTTGTTGTTATACTCACCACTATCATTCTTTATTGAAATTGGAACAGCACAGCTCACTTGGTTTGGGGATCATGCTGTTAAAAATATTACATAGCCACATCTAAAGRACTGTTACCACTGAACTGCCTGCTTTCAGAGTTGTTTTGGGCCATATGACAGATCTTGCACTCTTCAGCTTCATATATTTGGAGTGATACAGAACATAGGGCTGGACTGCTGGGATAGTACTGTGAATTCACTGATGAGTTCTAGTTCAGAAAAAATGCACAGTTTTAATTTCAATAAACTGTTACTGGTAAGGGTAATAAAATACAGAAAAATCAGGTGTTACCACTGATGAATAAATYACTTTTTAGTGGATTATAGTCAAACATTTCTTTGTGGCTACAGTAGAAAAGAGAGATTGAAAACTTCAAAATCAACTGAYTGGCTTATGGGTTTGAATTTCTTCAGCATCATTCTGTTGGTAGAGTAACATTCCAGGTGTTAATTGATGCTTTAATATATTTGAAGTGGTTATTTTGTTTTGTCATTCTACACTGTTATATCAGTCAAGTTTTGGAGAAATTCCAGCTGTTGCACTCTTTCAATTTTGTGCCTTAGTCAGGACTGCTAGTGTTCCTCTTTAATGGGAGTCTGGAAATGTATTTTTTGTTTTAAAATGGGGAATTATGACAGAATTTGTTCTCTTTGATTTTTATTGCGTGGTTTTATATACGATTTTATACATATATGTGTAAAAAGTGAAATATTACTGGAAGGAAGATTCAGGTACAAAATACTGGTGGAAAGGATTATTTTTTGAATAGGCTTGGACAGGATTTCTGGAAACTGCCTTAGATTGTGTCACAGAAATATGAGTGAGTTTGTTACAATGGTCTGATTTTTTCAATGTTTTCTTGATTTTTTTTTTTTT